ACTCAGCTCCTTCAGCTCAATCCCCTCTGGGGCTGGATCAAGGAGCTCTTCTATTTTATTTGAATAAAAAATTGACTTTCATCTTAAGTAAGCATGATAAATAAGAAAATGTCTGAAAAAGTCCACAATATGAGCCCATTCTTTTATTATCCAGTCCTGCAACATTACCTTGGGTATTTTTAGCTTTAGCCAATCTTTCAATATTTACTTTATGTATGTAAATAATACAAGTTCTTTTAGAAATGCTACCTATATTCCAAAAAAGCAATCACTCTGATTGCCCACTGCTGTCATTCCAGTCTTAAGGGTTCTAATCCAAATTCGTGGGTGACTGGAAAGACACCACCCTCATCCTATTGGATTCATTATGAATAACACAAAGATAATGACACCTGTAATTACTGTCAGATAGCTTGCCACCTTCTTAGAAGTTCCCAAAAGCAAGATGCCCCAAATGTGTACTCATAATTGTTTATTAGTCAGTCAGATTACAAAGCAAACTATAGCTTACTCAAAATAAAATGGCACTTTTTCATTTTTTAAATTTGATTTACAGTGTTTCTAAGTTAAACACTGAGTATAAATATGGATATGCATAATATAAATACCTGAGCTATTTGCATGAAAGTACCATTATAAATAGAAGTCAACCTATAACAAGTTTTGTTTTAGGAGAGTTATTGTTTAAATTCAATGTTGGAAGTAGTCAAATCCCACTAAATAAGGAGATTTTATAAGGCAAATTGTGTGTTTCAGTGAATATTCAAAAAGGAACACTTCAAATTCCTTATCTTCAGATTTTGGAAAATCTTAAGATAAAGAATAAAGTTCTATCTGCTCTCTGGTTTTCTCATTCCCCTCTACATTATAGATTAAATCTCATAATATTGTTTTGAAAGTTGTTATCTTCCTTCCTTCTGACTCCACATTCTATTTTAACACAGTAAATTTGTTAACAATTTGACACCCAAAACTCTATGCCTATTTTCATCTATCTCCATAGTAACTGCATTCAGCACAATGTAAAACATTAAATTAAAGACAACAACATATAACTAAGAAGAAATTGTTTTCTAAGTACTCTGAGCCAGTCCAGTATATCTGCTATAAATTCCATCAACAACTTTGTAATGGAATTGACTATGCCTTTTAAATAATTACCCTTTTGGGAGAAATGACATCAAGTTGACATATAAAATTGTGCGTTATTCTACAGGATTGCTTAAGATACAATAGTAAAGACAAAACAATTGCCCAGGCTGAAATCCAAAGGCAAGGCAAATCATAAAGGCAGATGTGGCTTCCCCAAGACTGGCGCAAAACTATTACAGTCCTTCCCCCAAGGAGGAAACTCATTGGAACATCCCTGAGTCACTTGCAAATTGTTATGTGACATCAACTCACTTCTATCATAAGCAATTTCAATGGAAACATTTAAAGCCACATATGATGATTTCATAGGCCTGAATGTTCTCTTGATAGCTAAGATGACAGATTCCAAAGGCGATTTAGCCAAGTGACAGTAACCCTGTAGATGCCTGCTAGGAGGGCTGACCAGCACAACATAGTAACTTATAGGTTTATATGTTGGTTTCTCCAGCACCCATCATTATAATGTTCAAGTGCTGTAACATATCAAACATTATGACACAATAGACTGCCAAAGGCTTACACAACAAAGCCACACTCTCCTTGGTGAATGATTCAGATAATTACAATGAAAATATCATCAACAAGGATCATAAACTGAAACTAATATTAAAGAAAACAAATGAAGCTCTACTGTGTAGAAAAAAACAACAACCATAAGATTCTGACCTAAGAATAATAAAATCCTATAGTTGGAAAGAGTCTTAGAGATCATCTGATTCAGCAATCCACCTGATGCAGATGTTTATTCTACAATGTTCTTGACAAGTGGCCATTCAGCCTCCCTTTATCCCTGTCCAGTGCCTAAGAGTGCACTATTGTTACTGACTCCAAATTTGCCTTGCTGAAACTTCCACTCATGACTCTGTTTTCTAGAACTTTTAAATTAATTCTCTCTACTAACTCAGTTGGTTTTTTAAAAATACATAATAATAAAATAGCAAGCACTTATTGAGTACTTACTTTGTGCCAGGCATTTGACTAGGTATTTATATGAATCATCTTATTTATTTAATGATTATAAGTGTAAACTCTGGAGCCAGGATGTCTGAGTTAGAATTCTGGCTCTGCATTTACTAGCTATATGACATTAGAAACGTCATTTAGCCTCTCTGTACTTCAGTTCCTCAACTATAACATAGGAATAATAATAATGTCTACATGATACAGTTGATAGAAAAATTCAATGCGAGCATATGTAAAGTGTTTAGAATAGTGCTCAGCACATGATAACGACTGTAAAAATGTTGTTATGCTACTCATTGTTATTATTATTTCTCATAATCCCATTCTACAGGTGAGAAGGCTGAGGTTTAGTAAAGAGTTTAAGCAACATAAGTCTGGGATTTTCAATTATCATTGTTCATTCACATCTGGAAAAGATATATTATGTAATTTATTTGCTATTTCTCATGTATTTGCTATTCCATTTAGCTTTGTATAATAGTCTATTTAAATTGATTCCATGTTGGGAACTTTCTTCAGTGTTTGATTTGTTCTAAGAGTTTGGAACCAAGAGTATGTCTTCTCCAAAAGAAGCATTCCTAATATTATATTCTCTAGTGCAGGGGTCCTCAAACTTTTTAAACAGGGGGCCAGTTCACTGTCCTTCAGACCGTTGGAGGGCCGGACTATAGTTTTAAAAAAAACTATGAACAAATTCCTATGCACACTGCACATATCTTATTTTGACGTAAAAAAACAAAACGGGAACAAATACAATATTTGTATTTGCATGTGGCCCGCAGGCCGTAGTTTGAGGACCCCTGCAGTGAAACAAAATCATCTAGTGTTAAACCAGAGATGGTAAATGTGTGTTTAAAAAACTGTATTATAAAATGTATCAAGAATCATAAAATAATTTAAAGGCTTTGATTCAATGATCCTACTCATGGAAAGTTATTCTAGGGAAATAATTGAACAAGTGAGCTACATACCTCCAAATCTTCCTTACAGCATTATCAGCTCCATTCCCCAAACTATATTAGGGGTATAGTTAGGTAAATCATGGTAAATAAACATGAAGGGAAATTATGTAGTAATTAAATAATCATTAAGAAACATGGAAAGAAGTTTATAATAAATTTTAAAAAGCACCCAAAGTTGAGTTATAATGGAATTATCACTATATTTTAAAATTTATCTTTATTGTTGAAAGTATTACAGATGTCCGCCTTTTTCCCCCCTCATTGACCCTCTTCCCCCACTTCTGCCCCTTCCTCAGGCCTTCACTGCACTATTGCCTGTCCATGAATTATGGATATATACATGTAAGTTCTTTGGTTAATCTCTTCCCGTGTGCCCCCCACTCTGAAATTCATCAGTCTGTTGCATGCTTCCATGTCTCTGGGTCTATTTTGTTTGTCAGTTTAATTTGTTCAATAGATTCCACATATGAGTGAGATCATGTGATATTTATCTTTCTCTGACTGGCTTATTTCACTTAGCATAATACTCTCCAGGTCCATCCATGCTGCCTCAAAGGGTAAGAGAGCCTTCCTTTTTTACAGCTGCATAATATCCCATTGTGTAAATGTACCACAGTTTTTTTAACCATTTATCTATTGATGGGCACTTGGGCTGTTTCCAAATCTTAGCTATTGTGAATAATGCTGCTATGAACATAAGGGTGCATATATTTTTTTTGTTTTTAATATATTTTATTGATTTCTTTACAGAGAGAAGGGGAGAGGGATAGAGAGTTAGAAACATCGATGAGAGAAACATCAATCAGCTGCCTCCTGCACACCGCTTACTGGGGATGTGCCCACAATCAAGGTACATGCCCTTGACCGGAATCAAACCCGGGACCCTTCAGTCCACAGGCCGATGCTCTATTCCAGTGATGGCGAACCTATGACACGCGTGTCAGAGGTGACACGCGAACTCATTTTTTTGGTTGATTTTTCTTTGTTAAATGGCATTTAAATATATAAAATAAATATCAAAAATATAAGTCTTTGTTTTACTATGGTTGCAAATATCAAAAAATTTCTATATGTGACACGACACCAGAGTTAAGTTAGGGTTTTTCAAAATGCTAACACGCCGAGCTCAAAAGGTTCGCCATCACTGCTCTATCCACTAAGCCAAACCAGTTAGGGCGGTTGCATATCTTCTTTCTGATTTGTGTTTTAGGATTCTTAGGATATATGTCTAGAAGTGGGATATCTGAGTCAAATGGCAGTTCCATTTTTAATTTTTTGAGGTAAAAATTGTTTTTTCATAGTGGTTTGTACCAGTCTGCATTCCCACCAGCTATGTACTAGGTAGGGTTCCTTTTTCTCCACATCCTTGCCAGTATTTGTTGTTTGTTCACTATTAATATATGTATACTTGAAGACAAAACTGGGAGAAAATATCCCAAAATGAAAATAGTTCTGTTAAAATGATACAAGCACTGGCTCACTTCAAAAAAAATGTTTTTTTATATAATAGGATACTATATTTAGTGACAATGAGCTAAAACTACATATATTAATATGAATAAGTCTTTTTTAAGCTTTCTTCCATTTCTTTTCTTTCTTTTCTTTCTCTTTCTCTTGCTCTTTCTTTCTTTCTTTTTTTCTTTCTTTCTTTCTTCCTTTCCACCTTGTCACACCACCATTGAAGCAAAACAACACAATATGCTGCTGCTGCTTCACCCAAAAGTGGTGATTTTGGTTTTTTAAATATATTTTATTGATTTTTTTGAGAGAGGAAGGGAGAGGGATAGAGTGTTAGAAACATTAATGAGAGAGAAACATAGATCAGCTGCCTCCTGCACACCTCCTACTGGGGATGTGCCCGCAACCAGGGTACATGCCCTTGTCCAGAATCGAACCCGGGACCTCTCCGTCCACAGGCCAATGCTTTATCCACTGAGCCAAACCGGTTAGGGCCAAAAGTGGTGTTTTTACTTTGACCTTTCTTGACAGCTCAGTGGGTCATTAGCAAAAGGCCCACGGAGTGCTTTTAAAAGGGGTATGAATAAATCTTGAGCACAAAAATCTTCAGTAAGGTAGATATGACTTCATTTCATTTATATAAAGTTGTTAAAACTTATAAATGCCATACCATATATTGTTACAAACACACATACACATGTGGTAAAAGTTTAAATATCTGGATAAAAATGATAAATACCAAAATTTAGGCTAATGATTACCTCTAGGGCTAGGGAGGGAAATTTGTCCAGGGAAAGATTCACCAGGAAAATGTATTTCTTAACCTGGTTAGAGAATAACCTGGTTATTTAACAGTATTATCTTCTTCCAGTGGTTCTCCACCCATCTGAGCAGTTTATTAAAAATACAAATGTCTGGATGCCACCACTCTAGATTAGATTCAATTGGTTTAAAGTAAAATCTGGGCATCAATAATTTGAAAAGTTCTCAGTTAATTCTAATGAGCACCCAGAGTCAAGAACAATGTATTTTTGGTATAGCTAAACTATATATTAATAATGATTACAACTGACCTTTAATATTGCTATGTTGTTTTAGCCATAAAAATATGAGGCTATATTTATACATACATACACACATACATACATACATATCTTCGATTCTGCTTAACTCAGAAAACTAGAGAACAGTGCAGCTCTCTGAGCCCAGGTATCCGTGGACTCTTTGCTGTCCAAATACAAAGAACCCAGCATGTGCATTATGCAAGAGTGGAAACCAAGCCCAAACAGATCAGGGAAACAGAACTGTTTAAATTGTCATGCCAGCAACAGCACAACTGAAAATGACACCCCCATAGTATTGTTTTCCCTGTAGAGTGAGTTTCACAAGAGCTCCCTTGTAGAGAATGACTTCTACGCCTGCAGCTTCCTCCTCTGGGCCTCTCTCTGACTGTAATAAAGGAGAGAAGATAAAGAAGCCGATCTGTTAGGTCTCTGCAAGGCAGGCTTGTTAGATTTCCATGATGCCAGGCCAGCAGCTACAGTGGCAGAATCACCCTGTGGGCCAACAAGGAAGATAAACAATTGCCTTCTGAGGCAATTGAGGATGGTCTCGAAGTCATGAGAAGAAGCCAAAGGAAGCTGCAGTGGCCAATGACAAACTCATCTAGCTTCCTCAGGTTAGGTAGATGAGGAAGCGGAGCTCACAAGTCTTGACGACAGGACTACTCCACCTAGTCACCAGCTGTTCACCCTCCTAAGCCTCTCCCTCTTCTCCATTCCTTTCTGTCAGACTCCCCATGAATTTCTGTCCTGATCTTCTACAGAGTGGGGAATGTGAAGAAGAGGAGAGTAGACGGAGATGAAGTCATAACTTTTGTGTTAAAAAAAAAAAAAACCAACAACAAATAAATAAATAAAATATAGAAAGAGTAGGGGGAAAGCCAAATAAATAGAATAACTTTTATGAATTGAAATTTTGGTCTTTAGCAACTTAAAATTAGATGCCCTTAAAGAGAAAAGAAATGCCACCTTTTGGTGAAAACAGTAACAAAACAGTAACTCATTTCTGCACTATTTATTACACAATCTGTCATCAATGGAACCTAAGTTCTAACAGGACAATTGACACTTACAGTCCTGTTAGTCCAAGGCCCCATCATATGAAACTGTGGGAATATTTTTACTAAGGTACTTGAAAATTCCAATGGGTCACAAAAGGTTAAGTAAAAGGAAAGAAGAGACATATAGAATGAAAGCAGCACTACTAAAATTAATTTTTATTAACTATCCTAATATTTTTAAATGGGGATATTTGAATAAAATATCCTGGCTAAGACAAGCAAAGGAGTACCATGTTAAAAACAGTGACTTCCTTTTCTTAGAAAAGGGAATTTGTGTCAGCAAGTGGCTCTTGTGGTCCATTTGTAGGAAGAAGTTCATTAGAAAAGAGGCCTCTTAATTTTCCCCAGACTGAAGGAACAGTGATTAATTTTGAGATGTTATGGATGAGTGAGCATGTAAACAAACGTGGGCAGAAGCAGGAAGCGAAGGAATGCTAACAACCACTGCTAATGTGCCTGGCACACAATTTTAAAAAAAAATTATTTCTCCAAAGCTAATCATCCTAACATCAGAAACGAAAGCTGAGGGATTAAGCTCTATTCCAAGAACAGTTTTGACAATATTAATTACATTGGTAAACAAACTCAGAAACAATAAAAATAAATCAAACCATGTTTCAGCTCCAGTGAAAAGGCAGTGTTTGCCAAAAAGGCCCCAACTAAAATCTAAAACCTCTAGAAAGAAAAGAGAATAAAACAATTTTCTACTTTAACAAATATTGTAGTCCTTATTTACTTATTTATATATTTTATTGATTTTTTACAGAGAGGAAGGGAGAGGAAATAGTTAGAAACATCGATGAGAGAGAAACATCGATCAGCTGCCTCCTGCACACCCCCTACTGGGGATGTGCCCACAACCAAGGTACATGCCCTTCACCGGAATCGAACCTGGGACCCTTCAGCCCGCGGGCCAGTGCTCTATCCACTGAGCCAAACCAGTTAGGGCACTGTAGTCCTTTTTAAAGAAAATGCTGATTACAAAATTACAAAATGCTATAATGTCCTAGTGATTCTCTGGAATACGTGAAGTTACCTAACAAGAATATAATATGCCTCACATGTAATTAGTCATTTATGCAGTCATCAAGCAAGGAATGCCAAGATTTTCATATGGCCTGATGTCTTCAGAAGCAAAGACCAGTCAGACAAGTTCCAGATAGAAAAATAAAAACAGAAAGGAGAGACTGGGCTTGCATGGAGAAGATAAAGCTTGTCAACAAAGAGAAGACATGTAATTCTTGGTCCCATGTGAATTAAAAATTCACAATCTAATTAATTTAAAATTCAACAAATCAATCTAATAAATTAAAAACTCAGCACAAACTCTCCATTTAGGTATCTAAATACACTACTTCATCCAGATCATTCTGGATTATAAACATGACAATAATAGTTTATACTTGAGTTTCTTTCACATCAAGATATAAAATGGTTACCTTATTAGTCTCATGCCACGGTGAAGAAAAATTAAAAAGAGTTGAGAATATTGACAGTAAATATACACACTCTAGCACACTGTTTTCAAATCTTAGGGCACAAGTCTTAGGTGAAAGGCCATGTGTAAGTTGTCTTTCTGCAATGGCATTGAATACATCTTTTGTATAATTCTTTTTTTTTTTAATTAAATCTTTATTGTTCAGATTATTACATTTGTTCCTCTCCCCCCCCCCCATAACTCCCCTCCTCCCAGTTCCCGCCCCACCCTCCGCCCTCACTCCCCACCCACTGTCCTCTTCCATAGGTGCACAATTTTTGTCCAGTCTCTTTCCGCATCTCCCACACCCCTTTCCCCCCAAGAATAGTCAGTCCATTCCCTTTCTATGTCCCTGATTCTATTATGATCACCAGATTATTTATTCACTTGATTTTTAGATTCACTTGTTGATAGATGCATATTTGTTGTTCATAATTTGTATCTTTACCTTTTTCTTCTTCTTCCTCTTCTTAATGGATACCTTTCAGCATTTCATATAATACTGGTTTGGTGGTGATGAACTCCTTTAGCTTTTTCTTATCTGTGAAACTCTTTATCTGACCTTCAGTTCTGAATGATAGCTTTGCTGGGTAAAGTAATCTTGGTTGTAGGTTCTTGGTATTCATCACTTTGAATATTTCTTGCCATTCCCTTCTGGCCTGCAAAGTTTCTGTTGAGAAATCAGCTGACAGTTGTATGGGTATTCCCTTGTAGGTAACTGGGTTTCTTTCTCTTGCTGCTTTTAAGATTCTCTCTTTGTCTTTTGCTCTTGGCATTTTAATTATGATGTGTCTTGGTGTGGTCCTCTTTGGATTCCTTTTTTTGGGGGTTCTCCGCGCTTCCTGGACCTGTAAGTCTATTTCTTTCACCAGGTGGGGGAAGTTTTCTGTCATTATTTCTTCAAATAGGTTTTCAATATCTTGCTCTTTCTCTTCTTCTGGCACCCCTATAATTCTGATGTTGGTATGCTTGAAGCTGTCCCAGAGGCTCCTTACACTATCTTCGTATTTTCGGATTCTTTTTTCATTTTGCTTTTCCAGTTGGGTGTTTTTTGCTTCTTCGTGTTTCAAATCTTTGACTTGATTCTTGCACTCCTCTGGTCTGCTGTTGGGTGTCTGTATAATATTCTTTATTTCAGTCAGTGTATGCTTAATTTCTAGTTGGTTCTTTATCACAACATCGAGGATCTCATTAGATTTCTTGAGGATCTCACTACATTTATCGGCGGTCTCACCAGTCTTTTCGAAGGCCTTACTAAGTTTATCGGCAGCTTCTAGACAGTTCTTGAGAGACCTTAAAAGTGTGGTTTTGAGCTCTATATCTTCCATTTCTGACATTTGCGTCCTGTTTCTTTGTCTCCTCATTTTTATATCTTTTCTTGGTGCACCCCCTAGTGATCTTTGTGTGCAGTCTTGTAGTTAAGCCTTGATTGTTGTCGGTAATACCAGGGGTGATTTGTCCTCCAGGCTAACTGGCTATGAGAGTCAGCTGTGTCTGCAGTGGGAGAGCTTCTGTGCTGGATCTCTAGGGCGGTGCTAATCTAGCCTTTGCCTGAGGCTATCCGACAAATGGCTCTGCGCAGGGCTTGGGCGGGGCGGGTCCCCGGGGATCTACAGGGCAAGCAGTTATGGCAGCTCTCAGTTCCGTCCCTAGGGGCTCTGCTTCTCAGAGTCCCAGCAACCGCTGCAAACCTCAGAGAGAAAGCTGCCTTCGAGTTCCAACCGAAGCCAGACAGTCCCGCTTCTCCCGTTTGAGTCTGGGTCCCCAGAGACTCGCCCAGATCTGGAGCTCAGAGTCTGAAACTCCCTCCCGATTGAAAACAACAACCGTGCCCTCCGCCGCCAGCCCGCTCCGCGCGCGCACTCCGCACCTGAGTATTTCACTTCAGCACTGTGCCTCCTCTGAGTCTGGGTATGATATTCTCTTTCCTCCTAGTTGTAGAATTTCCACTCAGCCAGCCTTCCTGTGGTTCTGGATGA